CAAGGCCAGCTATAAATTTTTACTTAAGAACTCTAGTTTATTGTAAATTAAACTGAACCGTCCTCCAAAGTTACATAACTTGTGTAATAGTGCGTAATTAGCTTGTATCGTTTTGATGCGTCCGGCAAGCAAGGAATAAGCTTCGTGCGCCAAAGATACCCATAAACGATTTTGACAGAATTCACACCTACCAGACCGTGCTCCGGCCGGAATACAATTTGTATTCGTGTGAGCGCACTTCCAGTATTGTGTGAATGCTCCTCAAAAGCGCAGTTTTACAGCTCAACTCACTGCGAGTTACCATGTCATCACACCCAGTGGTTTTTCGGGGAATTTTTTGGGTTATTTGGGGTATTTTTTTGGGAGCTGTTTTATCTCACAACATTCATGGCGCTTTTTTGGACTATAATGGGGTGCAAATAAAAAAATAAAAAAATAAAGGGTTGTGTTCTAGACAGTATGACGTAGATCTACGGCAAATTGGTGTTTGTCATGCATTTTTGACGATTTTACTTTATCTTAATTTTTTCAAGTATTTCAATGTTTCGGTTCTGGTTCAAAACTCGCTACAATTCATGTTAGATGAGATAATGTATTTAAATTTAATGTAATGGTTAAGAATTGACAGAATTTTCCCTACATAACTACATTGGATTGATCAATGTTGAGCTATTTTGCTGTGATCAATGTGCACTAAATTCAGCATCGACATCGACTTTAATAGAAACTGACACTATTGCGACATTTTTTATTGATTTGCACCTCAGTATAGTACAAAAAAAATGCCATCCATGTTGTGGGATAAAACCATTTCCAAAAAATACGTTTTTTTTTCAGTAGCTCCATCATTAGTTTTAAATTAGGTGTCTGAAGCAGAGAAGAGAGTGAAGGTTACATTTTATGATAACGCAACAGGCAGCTGTTTTCCCTATCAGAATACGGTACTTTCAATATTGAACAAATTGTTGGTTCATATGTAAGCGAAGTTGGGGAGGAAGGGGTATAACGATCATACGGGGCTGAGCACCTCTTTGTTCTCCAGTTTGGAGGACATGTATCATCATGTAATTCACAGCGTGTTCGTAAAATGATGCAAAGTACACTCAAGTCTTTTTTTACATGTTTTTTTTCGTGATTTTTACACTGTTTTTTTTACACTGTACATATCCTCCGTGTAAAAAAAGACTTGAGTTTAGAATACTGTGACAATTCTCAAATCAAACGTTTGGTTTTCAATAAGTAGGTGCTTAGTACAACATTAATTGAAAATTAGGGGTATTCAGTAATTGAATTTCAAAGTCAAAGCAAAAGCTCGTATACAGGTTCTCCACCTGTTCAATGTTTTGATAGTAAGCATCATAGTTAAGGTACACCGGGGCAAGTTGAAACTTCTATATTAGAAATAATCTCAGTGATTATTTATTTCTGCTAAGAGATACATCTACCGTTTCAACTTCCCTCACGCGCTTCTTTCTCTATGAAGTGCGGTACATGCATTTAGAGGTACCAGATATTTTTTACAGCCAGTTGGTGGTTAATTAGCTACAGAATAACATCATAATATCGAGTTTTTTTTTCTCAAATTTGAAGCTCTCTGGTCAGTGGTAGTGAGCGAGAAAAAAAATTAAAGGGAATTAAACATTTTTTTACTTAATTGTAGTTTGCTTAACAAATATTTCCCGGAAAAAAAGTGATCGTCAACATCCATGTATTTTTCAGGTTGCCGTTGTAGGGGAGGGGGGAGGCTTGTTTTCCACGTTTCGTATTAGGGGCTGTTAATTACCTACGAATACAGTTTTTAAGGATTATTGGCCCCCTCCATCCCCCTGCGTAGACAATTGCCCATTTTTTTTATTTGTCTGGGCCGTGGATAATTGCCAACCCCCCCCCCCCCCTCCCTCTCTAAACTGTCTACGTAGCCCCTTAGTTCAACGAGACCCAAGTCTCCTTCCACCTCATCGCTGGTTGTCAAGTTGATCCACCCAGTGCCACACCGTCCGAAGCGGTAATGAGCAGAGGCGTGACAGCAACGCTGTTTTTTAGCTTTTCAAGTTCAAGCAGAACAATATGCAACCAAGTGGTACACCATTATGACGACTGGGTTTGGGAAAACGTTTATTCCATGAAAACAGTAATAAAATTATCATTTGTACATTTTCAACAGTGTTTTATGGAAAATTGAAAAAAAATATATTTCAGCAGATTTGTAATTTAGCAGCGCCGGTGGTGTAGTGGTAAGCGTGATAGCCTCTCACCCCAGCAGGCCTGGGCTCAATCCGAGTTGTCGCCTCTGGGATGTTCTGAGGCATAACATCTCTGATCACGCCTTCCTTCAGAAGGGAAGTAAAGCCGTTGGTCCCGGTTCATGAGTTGATGGGTCGATATGTAGGGTCCAGGTGATGTAGCTGCTTCCCTGGCGTCGGTAGCATTGGTGCTCCGCACGGAAAACGAGATAGACGGAAAACAAATCAACGAAAAAAAAACAGATTTGTAATTTAATATCCTATCATTGGCGTATTTGAATTTCAATTTAGTCTATAAATGAAATATTTTGAACGCTTGTCACCTAACACTATTTCACCACACATATATTTGATTTACACTCCACTATAGTCGATAAAGACTTAGTTCTACGTCAATATCTTATTTGTTTGTAGTACGCTTAGATATGATCACAATGTACATCATATGTATGGCTAAAGATCGTGTGTAATCCTCGTCTATCCACATAAAAGTGTGTTCAAATGTGTTTTTGCTACTATTTATGACATTTAACTTAACAGCACTATTTAAATAAAACAACTGGTTAATGTTATCTACACTTTACTCCAGAAGCTTAAGAAACATCTTTTAGTTATTGTTTCCTGTATGTTCAAGAAAGTTGAATCAATAAACATTTTTCAATGTTGGTCCAATGTCACCACCTAGGCCCAATGCCGCGCCGTCTTACAGTACACAAACAATTTTTTATTCATAGCACAAGATGACAAAAGGTATATTCAAAGATCTGGTTTGACATTCTTAAAGCTACGCCAAACTAAATCTTATCTTTCTCCGTCTCAGCAGTGGCTACTACCGTTTCTACTACTAATGTTACTACGGTGACGGGTACTCTCAGAATTCCATGGAACATCGCATAATTGTTCGTTAGGGGCAATGTACCAAGTTTGTTCTGGAATTCGGCGTGAATCTACTACTAATTTAAAAAAAATTGCGTTTTCGATATCTTTCATTGAATCATAGCACGAAAACGGCTCATCTAATCATGACGTCTGAGACAAAGTTGTTGGAGTTTAGTTAAGTTTAGTTTTCTTTATTAACGAGACTTTCAGTAAAGTTGTTGGAAAATGGATTGCTGTTCCAGAAAAAAAAATACACAAGTAAAAATTTCAAATGCATCATTTATAAATGGCAGATGTTATCAAAATATTCGAACTCCAGCCCAAACTTGGTCCACTGCTCTTAGTGAACAAATATGCGAAGTTTCATGGAATGTGGAGAGAGAAAAATAAATTCGTTTCGTCTGTTGGCGTGGAACTGGTCTGCTGTAATCTTCCCACACCGATTCTGACCGCGTAGGATTCGTAAACTTCTTTCGTCGAATGGTCAGCACGATTCTGCGTCTACTCTTCACTCTCGTCCTTAGAGTAATTTTTACCTGTACTTGGGGTCATCGAGAGACCATTGTCACCCTCACATTCCGGTTCGAGGAAATCTTCGGTTTCATGAAATACTGTCACAACTCATAATTTACGTTCCGTTTTATCGATAAAAAGCATTAAATACCCAAATAAAATCAATTTGCCTCATTTTCAAAGGTAGTATGTTTCTCTAGCGGAGGATTGCAATCCAAGTTTAAAATATTCATTAAAAATCTAAAACTAAATGAAATATTCGACAACTTTTATGTTGAGTTGTGACAGTGTTGCATGAAACCGATGAAATCATGACGTATACAGGCGATACAAATTAGCCCCATGTATCAGAATCTAGGAGTGTGTAATTTAACGAAGGCTTCTTTTCAGTAAGCTACACCTCCGGTGAGCTGCTTTCTGCTTACATTTTTCTATTTGTCAAGTGCGGGGCTCAATGCAGTGTAGAAGCACCGAAGAATAAGGTGCTGTAAGCGATAGCTGACTAGAACAATGTTCCCCAGAGAAATCCTCACACGGTTTGAAATTGGTAGTAACGAGTTTCCCGCTGGGATCAGAATAAACTCAAATTTGCACTTTTCCGCATCGGATAAATTCTCGATTACTTTTTCGATGGGACATAACAATGCATTTGATCGTTGGGTGGGCGCAGCTGGTAGCTTACCCGTGCATACTAATACCACTTTCAGGTAGGACAAATTCCCCCTAACCGATGGTAGAGTTAGCATGCCTGGGCGAGCTACCAGCTACGCCAAATCGACGATCAAATGCATTGTATACAAAAGAAGATGCGTCCCTTCGAAAAAGAAATCGAGACTTGTAATTTTCTCGTCACTTACATTGGTTCGAATGTCAGATCTCTTCTCCCGGCTTCTACTGCACTCAAAGATAATAGTAGTTCAGATATGCGTAGTTTCCATGCAAGCTAAAACTATACCTTTTTAATGCATTGGTATGCGTAAATAGGGTACATGTGGTTCTAATCAATTCGCAACAAATAATTGACCTACAGACAAAATCCCACTGTCCAAATACGCACAATAAGGATTTTATCGAAAATAAGTTGTAAGTAAAAATATAGTACGATGTGTTTTAACAAAAAGTGTGAAAAACCTGTTTTGTCACACTGTCTGACCAAAATCTATGATCATGAAAGTACTTGCCAGAATAATTTTTCATTTGTTTCTATAAAGTTAACTACTTAAGAAAGATATCTTCACGTAGAAGAACCTATTATATTTTTAAAGACTGAACTCGGAAAAATGAGACACACAAAAGTGATCACCAAAAATTCATTTTAAATCGGATACTTCTCAAATTTTCAGGGATTAAATAACTATATATTAGCTATGTTTTGGCATAATTTATTTTTTGAATTTCCTCCCCCAATCTGAATGCTCGTACATTTCTCTTAACACTGCTCACGAGATCTTGGGCGAGGCTTTGCCCATCTTCCTTACACAATTTCTCCCAGTTTTTCTTCAAAGCTTCATCGGTTTTGAATGTTTTCCCGGTTTTCTTCAACTTCTTCTTCATTTTGGCCCAAAACTTTTCGATCGGACGATGTTCTGGTGTATTTGGCGGGTTCGCCTCCTTCGGGACCACATTAACGCCCTTCGCTTCGTACCAATCCATTAAAGGCTTGGCGTAATGGCACGAAGCGAGATCTGTCCAGAACTGCGTGGGACCACGGTGAGAGCGGAGGAAGGGCAGCAAGCGCTTCTGCAAGCATTCCTCTCGATAAATCTGTCCGTTTATGGTGCCGGTTGTAACGAACGGCTTGCTATACCGTCCGCACTCGCAGATCGCCTGCCACAACAGGTACTTCTTCGCGAATTTGTCCATCTTTCTCTTCCGGAACTTTTCCGGAAACTCCATGCGGGACGTACCGACAAAAAACTCGAGGCCGGGGATTTGTTTGGTGTCCGCCTTGATGTATGTCTCGTCGTCCATGACGAGACAGCCTGGCTTGACCAGCCACTCACGGTACAGCTTCCGCGCACGCAATTTGGCCACCGTGTTTTGCTTGTCAGTCCGGTTTGGCGCCTTCTTTACCTTAAAAACATGTAGCCCAACCCGCTTCATGGTCTGCTGGACAAACCACTTCGACGAATCGACCTTTTTGGCCACGTCTCGGGTGGAAAGGTTCGGGTTATTCTTAAAGTACTGCCTTATCTTCCGCGCCTTCTCTGGGTATTCCGTTTTCGGGTTTCGGCCGCTTCCAGCGCGCCGCTCGATGGTCTTCGTCTCCTGGAACATCTTCACAACGCGGGACACGGTGGAATGGTGGATTCCAAGCCTTTTGCCGATCAATCTGTGTGACTGACCAGGATTATCGATCACCGCGCCCAAGATTTGCTGGAGTAGCTCTTCTTGTTTCGAATGCATCTTGAAAACTACTTGACAGATCGCGATAAAATTTTGCACACATATACATAACATTCTAAACTAGTATTACCCAACATTTCATTAATTTTTACCCACGCGATAAAAAGTTACACCCAAAACAAAGTGTCACATTTTTTTCCGAGTACAGTCTTTATGATATTTTTATGATAAACAGTTATGTAACTTACGATTATCACATAAAAATTTTACAAGAACATGGATTTAATATCGACCTATTGTTCCCATCTTACGCCCATCAGCTTCAGCCCTCCAAAAATAGTCTTGAAATGAGATTACTGGTTGTATTTTTTTGATTCAAATCACTCTGGATCGTTGTTATACTCAATACGATTCGTTTCATTTCAGTAGAAATTACAAATACATTACACACTTATAGAATTGAACGAAAATCGTTCTAACTAACTATTTTATTTTTATGCATCGAATGAGTGAAAACAGCAAACTGACATTTTGCATTCAATCTCTATTAAATTTTTGTCTATGTAATTGGAAGGTGCACGACATTTCATCATCAGTGTTCTTAGGAATTCGACAGATGATTTTTTTTTTACCAAAAAATCGTAAAAAACCACCCCAATTTGTAAAATTCCTAAGCTAGGTTTAAATGTCGTGCACTTCCGTGCAAAACCATTCTGAATTTACGTCTTTCTGTCACGCAAAATTTTTCTCATTGCGCTACATTTCTAACTACAACTTCATAGTGTGTGATTTGTGTTCGTCGCTTCTGTGTCTTGTTGTCAAATGCGTTACACACAGAGATTGGGCTTTTATTATAATTAATTCATGAACATTTAGTGTTAATTTTTTAGTAAATATTGCCCCGTTCTCCAAACAAATTAAACAATACATGAACTCAAATCGATCGATACGCTCGTCAATATAAAAGCTATTTCTGAACATGTTGTTTGAACACGGTTTATGAATTTGTTCAATTCAGAACTGTGGTTACTTAAGTGTTCGTGAAAATTGTTTTATTGTTCTTAACATAGCTAAGGACCTACTCAGAACTCAATTCACCCTTTAGAAGAATAAATTACAACAAGTTTTAAAAGATGGTTGTATAATCCCATTAAAACAATAATTTGGAAATTTACGATAGAATAACTCACTGTATTAAAGTTTCCTCCCTTTAATTTTTCTGAAAAGAAAAGTTTTATGGGGCGTTAATGAACCTGCAGTAAGTAATCATTACAATTATTGTTTTCCGTAGAATTCATACACGCATACACTAAGAATGGACATAAAAGAAATAACAGAAACCGGATAGGGGCCAGTATTCTACGTCAACTGCTTTTTGACTTATGGTTTATGCTTTAACTGCTGTATAGCTCGATTTGGCTAATGGTGACTGCTTTTCTAGTTGTTTTAGAGCGCTAGTTTTTTGTTGCTCAGGTGTTTAACCATGTGTGATATAAATCCTTCCATGCATGTCGCTTATATTTGATTTTTTGTAGTGGTACAAAAATCATGAATGAGGACATATATTTTTGATTAAATTAAATTGATAATACAAATGTTACATAAAAAATCACTTTTGGTTGTGGAACAATAACAATGAAGCTTCAATAGCATCTTTGCCTTGCACTCCGACTACAGCCATCGTGAAAAGAACGAAAGAGTTTAAACGTTTTAAGCACTTTGGCAAACAAGCCCCACAGCCAAAATATTCTCAGGGAAAGCTAACGCTGCTCAAGTGTGCTTCTTTCAGGTGAAGTGTGTACTCCACAATGAAAGTATCATCTTTATTCTTCTTTCTTGAAGTTTTTCCTTGGCAGTGTGTCTTGAAGTACATCCTTCACGTCGTAGGTTTGCTGCTTCTTTTGCATGTTGCTTTCCTTTGTTAGAAAAGGGCTGCAATTAGTGAAAGTTTGCCATTTTGTGTCGAAAAACTTTCAATTGTATTGGCATTTCAAAGGTACCTATAATTTTGATATTATCTAAATTCAATTTAAACCGGCGCGAGTTTTATTCGATTTATATTGTATTAGAGTGATTTTATTCGCGCGGGTTAATATGGGATCGTGATCTTGAACACATACCGTATGCGTGATAATGTTTGCTCCTTTCCTGAAGGGGATAAAGTGAATACGTAAATATGTCCAAAAATTTTCCAAAATTTTCAGATTTTTGTTTGTTTTCTCAGTGTTTAATGGTGCAACCGTTATCAGCTGTTCATTCAATCATGGCGTTATGGATCGTGGACTGCAGTTTAGAATTTCTCACTAGGCGGCGCTAGAAAGCAAGTAAATTTCCTACTTATGCTATATCATGAGATTCTGGCTACACGCCGACAGATTTCAATTCAAGTTTGAGTTTCGTGCACTCAAAATCCCCCACGGTTTCTTCCTCGATTCGAGTTTCAGATTTTCCACGAATTTGAGTGAAATTTACTAATATTTGACCAAAACATTTTCTCAGTGTATAATTAACTTGGTTATTGAGCCAAATGATTTTTTGCTCGATGGAAAATTAGAACACCATGCAAAACAAAAAACTGGTTTTAGCCACAGTTTACTATCAGACATCAGATCCGTAAGGGAAATGAATGATCAGTTTTATAGATAAAAGCAATGTAGTTGCATATTGTGCCAGTGATGAAAGTGACTTTTCCAATGCTGCATGGTGTCAACAATCACGAATACAGTAAGAACTGCTCATGTTAGAAAGAAGGATGAATTTTCTAAAATGTTACTCACATTTTGATTTCTTACCAAATTGTCAAGCCTGATTCTTCGAAAGTTTAGTGGATTTTCATAATTCATTTTTTTTTTTTTAATTCTTTATTTAAGAGATTTTTAGCCTTAGGCTAGTTCATCTCTAATCATAATTCCTTGAATTTCAACTACAAAACTAAAAAAAAACGAGTAGCTTTTAAAAGAAGTAAATATAATTTGGATGCATATTTTATTCATCGTGCCAAAAACCACGAAAACAGCAAAACTTGAAAGAACTACTCATGTTTGAAAGATGGACTAATGTCGACGATGATGATGATGATGATGATCCCACCCTACAAAGGTTTGAGCAGGACGATTTATCTTAATGATAATTTAATATGTTATTTCAACACTATTTTTTTTTAATGTTCGTCAAGAACACCCTGAATGTCTTATTAAAACCTACAAGGAACAGCCCTATGGGGTTGAACTAACTATTGACGTACACAGCAAAAAAATTAGTAACACATCAAAGTGGATGCACTTCAACCGTGTCAAAAATATGGTGTAATATTACTTGACAAAAAGGACAAAATTATCATTAATGCTGTGCCTGAATTGACATTATGCTTCTTCTTTTGTTGTTGTTTATTTTTGTGAGATTTTTGACATGATTGAAATGCATCCTCTTGAATTTAATATTACATATTTTTTTTTGCTGTTTAGGACTACGCTACTAGATTTTTCGTAATTACCATATAAGCTGTTGATTTCTTTGGGTGTGTAGAATCTACTCTCCCATATATTTCTAATGTAATTCTTTTCCAGCTCATGCCTTCAAGGGTGATTTCTAAAAATTTTCAAGCGGATTTTTATTCGCTTGTTTTTTGGAAATCTGAGAAACAATATTATCAAAATTAACCCTTTAGTGGTAACATGAATTTTGTCGCCCTGAAAAGACGGTTTTGGATTGATGCGCATGGTCGCCGATCGAGTGAGGAGCAATTCATGCCTTTTGTATACTTAGGCAACATGGTAGCCTGGATATTAAACGGAACTCCACTCTAGGTGATGGTAACGCTAGACAGCACTTTGTTTAGTTCTTTGTCGTTGCGGAAATCCAACAGCACTTGACGAGGGATAATGTTTGCCTTCTTGTTGCCACAACCGGCGTTTCCTCCCAACTCAGATATTTCAGCAGTCAAGTTGACTGGAATATCAGCAATGATGTCATGTATCCTGATTTTTGTACACGAACAAAGATGGAACAAAATAATCATAAGGTCCTGAAACAAGTTTGTTAGTTAAAAAGTAGCTACTTTTTTACTATTTGTTGAGGAAAAAAACTTGTTACAGTACCTTACGGTAACAACACAAACAAGGGAGTCTCGACTTTTATCTTGTACAAAAATCAGGATACATGGCATCGCTGTGCATTAATACCAACAGGCTTAGCAGACGTTGGATGCGACCAAGCGGGATCTGCAGTGCAGTGACGTTGAAATAAAACCTCTCCTGTCGGTGGGGTGGGTAGTTGTTGTTGAGTAGAGTTGAGGCGAATGAGCACGCGTCGCTGGCACCGCTCTCTTAGATAGTTGTTATTTTAAACGATGCTTGATGTTCACCAATTTTTCAAAAATTTATTGTTTGAAACCAATAGTTTAACCTACGTCGATATTTAGAGAAATTTCCGATCGAAGGATGCAAAAATATTGAAAATGTATCATGAAATAGACGAGTTATAATCGTTCAAAACCTGACCACTTTTCGTTACATGTTCATTTATCGTATTCGTAAAGTGTACTCCCATATAGAAAACGCAAACTTAGTCCTACGTAAAAAAAAAACAATATCGCAGAAACACCCACCAAACAAAAGTTTTACATCACCCCTTTCCAACGAGGCTCGTATTTAAACCAGGCCTGCCCAACCTTTCTAAACTTTATTTTTTGAATGGCTTTATCTATGTTCGATTAACATGTTTAAAACTGCATTTTGTTTATTTCTCATTCATTTCGGGCACAAAATTCATAATGATAATTAAATTTAGACTAGAATGATAGCATTGGGTCTAGAACAATTTTTAATATTTTTCGTAAGTTTTTATGTTATTCACATCTCCGAAAGAACATTTTGAAACTAGCTTCAAATTAAATACTGCGCTAAGATTGGTGGATGTTTCAGCGACACTGTTTTTTTTACCAAATACTTCTGTTGAAAAATAATCATCTTGTAGATGAATTCAACCTTAATACTACTTACAATTGGTGCTAATCTATGTTTCTTTTAATTCTTTTCAGATTATGCATTGATCGATAGCTGATTTCCAATGATACATCTCCAATCTAGTCTGATGAAGTATCCTAATGACAAAAGAGTGACTAGAAACGGTGCAACTGGATACTTATGAAACACTCTTCGATGACATAAACAGATATTTGCTAGCGCCTCAATGCATATTTGTTTGCAT